ACATGGCCATGCGTATATAGCCTCTGCCAGGGAAGTCCTACTCACTGCCTTCTCGTGGCGGGGGTGTTGTTTACAAAAATTAGAGGACGAAAAGCGAATGTCCGGCGCTTTAACCGGATCCCTAACCAATGGTGCACATGGGCTCCAGTATCCTGAAGGAACAAATGGCGTATGAACCAATCGTTGGTCACCGGCTACTATGGGACTGCATCTCCTTACGATGCTCCACTGCCTTGTGGGTCAGACGTTCAGGTCGAAGGCTCGGGGTGTGGTCCCCTAAGAAAACCACCTGCTTCGGTCTGGGCACCCGGGCAGTATCACAGCCGTCACACAAATCAATTGAGATTCGTGTGGCGCATATGTACTTGGTGCCTCCCGATACCTATACTTATGTGTTAAAATAATAATAATAATAATAATAATACTTCAAAAAGAAACATGATCCATGAATTGTATATATAAGGTTTAATGTAGTTTATCCGTACTTTTCTGCTTAATGCTATTGAATGGTAGGAATATTTGGCATCTCCAAACACTACACTTTGAAGCAAGTGCTGATGACCTGAAGGCGAATTTATAATCTGGAGGTACTTGTACACATTCAAAAGACCACTTTCGCCTGTTACTCCTCGTGAAGGAGCACAGGCCGCTCACCAGCATTCTCCATCCAACCCTGTCCTGGGCAATCCTTTTAAGCTCTTTCCAGTTCTTATTTATCCCTTTCATATCCGCTTCTATTTCCCGACGTAATTTGTTCTTTGGCCTTCCTCTTTTCCGATTCCCTTCTGGATTCCAAGTTAGCGCTTGTCTCGTAATGCAGTTTGATGATTTCCTCAATCTATGTCCTATGCATTTCCATCGTGTTTTCCTAATTTCTTCTTCCGCTGGAAGCTGGTTTGTTCTCTCCCACAGAAGGCTGTTGCTGATGGTATCCGGCCAATGGATGTTGAGTATCTTGCGTAGACAGCTATTGATAAATACTTGTACCTTCTTGATGGTGGTTGTTGTAGTTCTCCAAGTTTCAGCTCCGTACAGTAGAACTGCCTTGACGTTCGTATTGAAGATTGTGACTTTGATATTGTTTGAAAGTTGTTTTGAGTTCCATATGTTTTTCACTTTAAGGAATGCTGTCCTTGCTTTGCCAATCCTCGCCTTTACGTCTGCATCTGAACCTCCTTGTTTATCGATGATGCTTCCCAACATTCAAAAGAACATGAGCTTAAAGAGCACCGTATGAACAACAAGAAACTTTTTATACCATTTACTAGTAGCGTTACAAAACATTCAGCATAAGACACACTCTTGGGTCAAAAGTAATCAGTGAAGTACATAGATCGATATTGATGCTATCACAATTTGTTAAAGGTCGTGAAAAGGGGATCCTAACAATCCTGACGACAGCCTACCTATGTTGTGATTTATAGTGAAGCAAAAGTAATTATTTTAAAAAGTATTCTCGAAAAAAGGGAGAATTGAAAAGCATTATATATATATATATATACCATCTTTATTGCTCAAAGCTGATACTTGAAGATAATCTTAAGACCAAGATTATTGGTGGCAGACCAATTGGACGACTAAGCTGAAATGATTCCAACTGTTAACGGGCTGAAGTATATTTAGCCAAATGTCTCAACACATCCTCAGTAGACGATGACTTTTCGTACAAGTTTGATATGACGGCTCTCAGATTAAGTGAATTCGTAATCTTTCTAAACATAACACAGTTAACGTTTACTACTGGAATAGTTTAGACTGAGGTTAATGAAATTGTTATTTTTCAAGTACTAGTTGTATTTTATAGTATTCCATCATATGTATATCCGAGGTATCATTCAGGTATTTTGGTACCACCGAGTAATCAGTGGCTAGCTTAGGTATATGGTGCTAGGTAAATATGGAAAATTGATGAGGTGGTTAGGACGCGCTAAGCATGCCCAAGCTCCTACCTCGACTGACTATTTCGTCTAGTACAGGAATAGGCTATAAGGGGCTGCCAAACAAGGACATGGCACCAGTCCATAAAGTCATTGACGATTGGTCTGAGACATGTAAGCAGGTGCAGATTACTTGATTTGGGTTCGGGTGATTTTTGTAACCAACAGTTAGACTTTGGATAATGACCCATAGTCATTCGTAATGGTACAGGTGCATTCACTCTTTGTCTTCCTTTAGAACCTTAGTCCCGAAACCTCCCCACGCTTTTTTCATACCTACCTTTCTAACTATGGGAGCTATTACTTTCCCGACCACACTGAGATTTAGATTAGTCATTTTGTCCAGTTGTGCTGTGGTGTACCAACTTGAACCGATATGAATGAGCCAAGTTGTATGCTACATATGACTGACCAACTTAAAATTCGCAAAACCTATGGTATAACTTCCAAACGCTTGACCTACAGTGTAATCTAGAGTAATAGTTTAGTATGAGCTTATCATATTTATATACTGCGAAAAAAGTCATACGTAAATTCGTCACTGAAACCAGTTTATCATGAGTAAAATGAGACGACGCAGACAAAAATTCGAAACAACGTATAATTTGGCACTTCCCAGAAACGACTCTAAATTACCGGACAATTTACATCCCTAGATGAAAATGAGACTGAAGCGTAATTCCTGGGTGAGAAAAAGAAAAGGCCTGTTTAACTTGTCACGAAATAATATATCGAACATCAGGCAAGGGAGTCCAAAATGACTAAGTTGATGTCTAATCTCAAGATTTTAGGACATTATTAGGCCTTAACACAAACTCGCTGGGTAATTAGCGTTATATTCTAGCATTTGTTTGTAAACAAATCTAATCTGTGGCTGGCTGTTCTACATCAACTAGCGATGCAGAATATGATGATAGGATCTAATTTCGTCTCATTTCAAATACACTAGTTCATTACAATAATGACAGGACCTTCTAAGTTTGATTGGTGTTTAAGTTAAACAATGACCAACTATTTTTCGGGACGAAGAAATAAACACCTCTCATCGATAACGAAAATCAATAACCATAACAAAGGTGTTAGTACTGTTCCTTATGACAGGTTCCTAATACTTAGACTAGACATCAATTTAGTTATGCTTCCCACAAATTTAGAATCGATTACCGAGTTCTGTTTTATCACAAGCGTTCCTATTTATCAATACGAATACTAAACTTCGGAAAACATATGTTTTCCGCACTATTTAGGGCGTAATTCCAAGATACTAATCCTGTCTAGCAAATAAACACGCAAGAGTAGACACAACATAACTAAAACAACCGAGGTTCACAAATATGTGGATAATACTTTATGAATCTTATGGCTAATCGCATGGAAACCACATAGAAAAAAATTTTCGTGAGGTGAAAAACAACTACACATATACTGTAAAATCGCAATTACCAAACGCAACTCTGCATATGCATGATAAAACAAAATAATTAAGTCTGAATTCAGCAAAACTGATTAAGAATATGCGGCACAAAACTCGATAATTTTAAGCACAATCAGTGGGAATTAATATTTGGGACTAACTCGGTTTATTGCGCACTGTAAGGATAAGCAAATAAAACTAAAACCATCTAGCTTTGCAAACACAGAGTGTGAGGTATGTATCTACGAACTATGGGAAAACAACCATTGTCGTACACTACAACGTTTTCGGCTTCATATGAATCCTAAAAAGGCAGCGATTTGAATGACCGTGCTTATACTATTTCAGATGCAATAAGGATGAGGGCAATAAATATTGCATACTTAACTAGAATCTGTAGTTATCTCTAGAAATGTAAAAGTGCTGTCGTATAACTGCACTGATCGTACCAACACTATATCTCCGTCCGTTATACCAGAAGCAAAAAGGCATGATATATAGGAATAACTAGATGTGTACAATCACTATTTTGAAGAGTGAACTTACTAATAAGATACCAAATTTAAGGGATTTGCGTCTATCATATGACCACCAACAAAATGCGCGGTCTTAAACAAATTTGTGATCAAAATCAAAGCAGAAAAACAACTTTTGACCGAAATACGTATACAGCCATACTCACTTCAGTTAGTTGGATTGATCAAGTATTTATCAATAGCTGTCTACGCAAGATACTCAACATCCATTGGCCGGATACCATCAGCAACAGCCTTCTGTGGGAGAGAACAAACCAGCTTCCAGCGGAAGAAGAAATTAGGAAAACACGATGGAAATGCATAGGACATAGATTGAGGAAATCATCAAACTGCATTACGAGACAAGCGCTAACTTGGAATCCAGAAGGGAATCGGAAAAGAGGAAGGCCAAAGAACAAATTACGTCGGGAAATAGAAGCGGATATGAAAGGGATAAATAAGAACTGGAAAGAGCTTAAAAGGATTGCCCAGGACAGGGTTGGATGGAGAATGCTGGTGAGCGGCCTGTGCTCCTTCACGAGGAGTAACAGGCGTAAGTAAGTAAGTTAGGCGAAAATTTGACAATTTGGCGGATATTTAGGCGAAAAGCAGACAATTTATCGACAAGGCGACAAAAAGGGGGAAATCCGCTTTATTTCCCCCGGACAGGCGAAAAAGGCGACATTTTGGCGCGTTTTCTTCTTTATTTACCATTTCTTTACCAAAGCATTTTCCCCTTTATTCGCCTTTATTTCCCCTTTATTGGTTGATTGGGTATTATAGCATTTGTCACTGGTTAAGGTGTCGTTAAGCTGCGAATATGTGTGGTATCCGCGAACTTCAAAATTTATCTCAAGTTAATAGATCTGTAATTCTTTTAAATGAAGGTACAGCACGTAGATTCGAGCTTAGCCAGAAGGTACATTGTGTTCATGGGTGAGAGAATCTGGAAATGAACAAACGAGAAGCAATATAAGGGCTCAATATGTACATAGATGGCTCATCCAATGAATAATTAGGCTAACAAAAAACAATCAGCAACTACAGAAGCATAAAATATGGGAAGTCTGATGATTGGAACTAGAAGGTAAAAGTGATAGGTCTTGAGAGCGTTACAGGCGCCGTTATTGTATCATGCGCCCCGAAGGCTTCTACAAAAAGGAGGACATTCTTGAATGTATACATAGAAAAGCAGATGACAAAAAACTGCGACACTTTTCAATCAGTCGATATGGGTTGGTGGATAATGATGTTAGAAAGATTGTATGGCCAATTTTAGTGAGAGGAGATTGCGAACTACCAGATATAGGTGTGTAAACCATTTCATGTCATGTATATTTTGAAGTATGAATAGTTTTTGTTTGGATTTCTTCCCATTACAACTTATTTTAATCAAAAGAAAAGTATATTTAACTTTTTAGTTAGCATCTCAGTCAGTCAGCTGCAACGTAGGACCAGGCACATATATGCATCGGTCCAAGTTGCCACACCTCATTAGCACAACAAGATGAACACCGGATTCATAGAAGTAGTTAATTTTAAAGGTAGTAATATATAAAAGATTGTGTGTAAGGACATAGTACAGGAAGAAAGAATGAGAAAGGTATAAAGTAATTTTAATCTTACGGTTTAACGGCAGACAAAGAGTGTATACATTGACGCCATTGTGATGGATTCTGAGCCATGTCACCCAGAGTTTCCAACTATAGGCTACGATGGTCACGCGAACCCCAACCAAGTAGCCTGCATCTACCAATATAGCTCAGACCAGAAGTTAGTGACTTCAAGCACTGATGCCACGTTTTGTTTTGGTCGCCCTTACTTTCTTCCAATCATCCCTAATACCGGTTATCATTGCGCGTCGTGGTAATTGGTGTTCAGGCATACGCAACACGTGGCCCAACCATCTCAGTCAATGAAGATTCACAACCTCATCAACTGCGTCTAACCTCACTATTACTTACCTGGTGATCCCAGCAGATTTGAGCAATGTTTCCAAGACATATGTGATCAAATATTAGTAGCTTACGCATACCTTCTACTCTTAAAGGCCATGTTTCGCAGCCGTATAGTGGAACGGAACGAACTGCCACGCAGTATACTCGTCCCTTAATTGATAGACGGATACTTCGCCTTCGCCATAGGTGACGTAAGTTGGCAAAGGCCAAACGAGCTTTTCGAATCCGTGCTGAAATTTCGTCAGACACCAACCCATTAGGGCTGATCAGACTTCCAAGATAAGTGGAGTTGTCAACGCGTTCGACTACTTCACTCCCTATCCTTAGTTCAGGTGTTGACGCAGACCAGTTCTGAAGCAACAACTTGCATTTAGAGGGAGAGAAGCGCATCCCAAACATTCTCGCATTGTTGCTCAGTGCTACCAAAAGACTCTGCATTTTATCAGCGTCTTCACCAAGCAGGAGTATGTCATATGCGTATTCTAAGTCAATAAGTGGACCTCCTGGTACAAGATCAGTTCCCAAAAATTCAGTCGACGAGAGCGTTATTTCCATCAGTAGATCTATGATGAAGTTAAACAAAAATGGAGATAGTGGACAGTCCTGAAGGACACCACTTGAGGTTGCAAAAGCAGATGACAGTTCGCCATAAGCTCGAACTCGACTATTGGTGTTCCAGTGAAGAGCCCTCACGAGGTTCATGCACTTCTAAGGTACACGTTTCAATGACAGACACTGACACAGAACCTTTCGGTCTACAAAGTCAAACGCTGCTTTCAAGTCAAGGAAGACCACCATTGTCAGACACCAATAAGTATGCCTGTGTTCTAAAATCTGACGAATGGTGAATATGTGGTCGATGCAGTCACGATCAGGTCTGAAGCCAGCCTGACTTTCTCATGTTTCCAGTTCACGAGTCTTTGTTAGGCGTTTGATAATTACCGAGGCTAGTATTTTAGATACTATATTAGTTAAACTAATCCCTCTATGGTTGTCACTGGGTGATTTTGACCCTTTTTTATATATTGGGACGATAAGTGATTGTGACCAGTCAGAGGGGATTACGTCCAACTCCCAGATTTTAACTAAAATATTAGTCAATCTAGTCGCTAGAATTGGACCACCATCCTTAAAGACCTCTGGGGCCAATCCATATGGACCAGCTGCCCTTCCTCTTATTAGATTAACTATAGCCTTTTGAACTTCAGCTAGAGTTGGGGGACCTACTTCAATGTTCCATTCACACTGTCTGGGAATGGTGAGTAGTTTTAGAGTAGCTGAAGGCCAGCTGAACTGCTCCTTAAAGTGTTCCGCCCATCGTTCTAAAAGTCTGGACTGGAAGCAGATAAGAACGTCGTCTTTTTCCGGGATAGTCTCACACCTGACGTTTTTGTTCCAGTCTCTTTTACGAGTCTGAAGAGTTTTCTGGAGTTACTTATGGCCGCCGCCTTTTCCATCTCTTTTGCTTTCGTTGCCCACCACTGCTCATGGTCGTTCCTTAGACTTTTGCTTAACCTAGATCTGATCTCTTTACGCTCTTCATCGTGTTCAGAACCTGATGGGATGAGTTTGCGAGAATCCACCAGTGCAATAGACCTTGAAGAAATCCACTGGTTCTTTGTAACCCTGTGGTTTAAATCACTAATAGGTGTCACTGCTGTTTCCACAGCTGTTTGTATATCTTCCCAAGCAACATCTGGGCCAGCCTCGTTTTCAGAACTACCTAAGTGTGACCTCAGTTGTTCCTGGAACCCACGTTTGATTTTCTCATTATTCGGTTCAGTTCTAATGAGTCTTTTTTGTGTGGCTTTTTTGCGTCCTGTGAGGCGCAAGCAGATGCGTGCCCGAATTAGGGCATGGTCGTAGTCCAAGCAGGTACTCCAGAATGAGCGACAATCTTCTATCGACCCTCTCCAATGATGACTGATGGCAATATAGTCTATTTGAGTCCACCGTTGATTTGGTGCAGGGAGTCGCCATGTTGGACAATGTCTCTCCTTATGCTTAAAATTTGTGTTTGCTAAAAAATAAACGATCGTCTGAGCACAGTTGCAGCAGACGATCACCATTATCTGTTCGCTGTGCCGGAATACTAAAATACCCACCTAAATGTCTTTCTGTTTCGTTTAAGCTGCCTACCTGGGAATTAAAGTCACCTGCTATGAGTACTATGTCTGAACGTTTGGCTTTCTGAAGAAGTTCAGAGAGTTTTCTGTAAAATTCATCTTTCACTTCATCCCAGGAATAATAGGAATTGAAGAGGGAGGTTGATTATGAAGACACTGGTCTTGAGTGCTGTTAAAGCTATGAGGGCGGTTATCACTTCCCGGTTTCTCACACTGTGGAAGGGTTCTTCTCGAGGTACCTGAAAAGGAAATTGGATTAGAGTTGGTCATAGTGACCTGAGAGCGTGACCGCAGTGCCCAAGGGACGGCTGCTTGCGGTTGGTCACACACGACGTTTTTATGAGTAGTTTTTGTGTTAGCTCCGTAGTTGTTGAGACCTTACCGCCGGAGACGGATATCCGTGGGATAAGGCGAGGTGTGCATTTTTAGGGTCGACCTTTTCTAACCCCACCCCTCCTTGTGGGAAGGCAGCATTGCTGTCATGCTGGTTGTCTGAAGGAAACACCTTACTGCTATCACACCTATGTACAGTCAGCAGTACGACTTTGCCTTCGGACCTTGGTTTTGTTGCTTTTAGTCTTACCGCTCTCCAACCGACCTGTCTGGCATGGTAGGACATTGAAGAACGGTTGTTCCAGCCAGTATAGCTCAGTTGCTTCATCACGATAGGCAAGCCCGACCACCACATCAAGGTCGCAACAACGGTCGGGTGAGTTAGCATCTAGTCTAATATTTTGTAATACGTCATAGTCCTCATGCCAAATAGCGTTTATCGGTTTAGAATTTTATCGGGTTCCGTGAGATTTAACTCTTGAAGGTCTTGTCACCAACATTGGTGGTTTTCGTCTATAATCATTCAGTCTTCAGTAATAAGGATAATAAGTTGGTGAACTTGTGTTAGACTTGACAGATTACCTTCCAATGAAGGTCCAGCTTTTCTTTCAAAGTATTCACTGATGTGGCTAATACCACTTGTTTGAGTAAGGCTTTCCAGTCATTGACTACTCGATGAGAAAAACGGGACCCCACTCTAAGTTTATTAGATCGCTGTTTGTAAACCTTCTTGCTACGACCTCGAAGATTATCAGTGCTTGAGGGAGCAAAAAGATAATACATATTAACACCCAAATCATAATTAAAGATACAAAATGCCAGTATAAGGTCACCTCGCGTCCTACGATACGGCAAGGAAAAAGGTTTAGGCGTTTCAAACGCTCATCGTAAGGAAGTTTAGAAGGACCCTTCACTAATTTAGTTCCCACACGCTGGACACGCTCAAGTGAGTTGTTATCCTTTACCAGACATGGGATAGCTGCTTAGATACAGCGCTCTAAATGTGGTCTTACATAGGTAGGATATAAAATTCGAAATATTTCCTCGTCAAAGCATTTGAATGCTCGACGAAGTGACCATAATGCACGAAAACCTTTGACAGCAGCTGCGTTGCAATGCGTAGTTGTTTTCAAGTCATGACTTATTATTACTCTTAAGTCTTTATGTTCTTGAACGCTTGGAAGAGGTTTACCATCAATAGTATAATGGTAACTATTACCGTGGCCGATGTGCATTAGCACACTCTTCCTAGAATTGATTTCTAAGCCCCAACCTCGAGCACCTTTAACTAATTAGTCTAAGTCAGCTTGGAGATCAAAATGATCAACCTCACTTTTCATTGTTCTCCAGATTTTTACGTCATCTGCAAACAATAATGTCGACGACCTAAGCAACAGCGGTAACTCGTTAACCTAGAGAAGAAAGAGCAGAAGGCCTAAGATGGTGCCTTAAGGTACACCGCTTTTGACCGGCTTCCGATCGGATAGCGTTCCATTGACCCTCACTCTCTATCTGCAGTCACATAAGAAGTTCCTTATCCACTCCTGTACAAAACCTATTATTCCGAAGCTCGAGAGCTTCTGCATAAGACCTAAGTGTGACACCTTGTCAAATGCTTTGCTAAAATCTATGAATATCACATCGAAAGGCAGACCGTTACCTAAGGCTGCTGTCCAATCCTCTCTCGCAGTAAATAAGTTAGTCAAGCATGAACGCTTGTTACGAAACCCATGTTGCTCAGGGGCTAACGGATTGTGTTAATCTATGTGACTTAGCAACTTAACCCAAATTATCTCAAGTAACTAAACGACCATGCTGGTTAGACTGAATGGCCGGTAGTTAGATACGATCTGTCTCTAACCATCCTTAAATATAAGACTGACTAGAGCGTC